TCCTCTTTGGTGTTTCTCTTTCTTTTTTTTTTTTTTAAATGAGTTCTTTTGTTTTATTATTTTTTTAAAACTTTATTGGGGAACAGTGTGTTTTTTTCCAGGACCCATCAATTCCAAGTCAAGTCATTGTCTTTAATCTAGTTGTGGAGGGTGCAGCTCACTGGCCCATGTGGGAATCAAGCCAGCAACCTTGGTGTTAACAGCCTGTGCTCTAACCACCTGAGCCAACGGGGCACCCTCACCTTTTTTGGGGGGAGGGGGTAAATCTCTTTCATTCTTGGAGGCTCTTCCTGAATGTCTGGTAATCTTTGGTTGTCTACTCATATTTAAGTGAGGAATGGAAAAGCCAAATAGTGGAATTTCACAGTAGGGTGATTTGGGAGAAAGCTGACCTTTCTATTGAGGAACCCCAAATATTAGTATCTGGAGGTTTTTTGCTAGGGGCTTTTACTTTCTCCAGAAAAGGATCCTCTGAAATCTGACCTGTGGGTGGAGCTAGGACCTGGGGAATAGGTGAGGCTGCCAGTGCTCTTGGAGGAGGTGGGTTAAATGAGGGCTGGGGATGCTATTGTTGCTCTGCAGACCTGTTTAAAGTCTTGCTGTCAGCCCTGATCTTCAACACTCTCTGTTCCATTCTTTTTCAGACCTATGTCTCATCCTCAGCTTCTATAGTATCACCGATAATCCTGATGAATTCATTTCCCAGACTATAATAAATAATGTTTATATATTGTAATCCATCTCCCATAGCAAGTACTCAGTAAATGTTAGTTGTTACTGTAGTTTTTTAGTTTCATGCATTTTTTTCATTGAATTCCAACAACCACCCTCTAAGTATTATCATTCCCATTCTGTAGCAGTGGGCAGTGCAGTTTAGAACACCTGGGACTTGGTCAAGGCCAACAGAAGGCTCTTTTAGGGAAGTTGTTACATTCACTCAGGATGTTTTTATCTTGGTGGAAGCGGGTGGTTTAGTGGCACAATGGGTATTGGCTGGTGAGTGACACTGCTTCCTTGTGAGGTGGCAAGCGCAGCAGTATCATGTCCCGAGAATTGCTACATGTTTGTGTTACAAAAGTGTAGTGAATAGATGGGATTCGTTGTACCGGCATTTTGTGGTGGTCATTAGAGAAATAAAGTGCCTGAAGGTGATAGTAGATTTTAAAAACGATCTCGTGGGAATTTGCACCAATTACTTCTGGTCGAATGATGATGAAAAAATAAGTAATAACAGAATTAGGAAAAGTTAATGGGGTAAAGACGAAGAAACTTATTGCAAACCTGTCACCAACTTTCTTCTGTGAGTTTGTAAGCAGATCAAAGTTAGTAACTGCACGTTGCTAGGAATAGCTCTGTAACTCAACTGTCAGAAGGGAGACCCTTCAGATTTTCTAGGTGGGCCATACATAACATAGTGCAGCTGAAGAATAAAAAAAAAAAAAGGAGGGAGGCACCCCAGCGAACAAACTAACATTTATTGTAAATCACTCTGTTAAAGAATTAACTGAATGTACTTACTGTGTCCCGCTAGGGGACAGCTTCTGATTAATCTTTGACGATGAGATAGATGTCCCTTTCTCCCTATTGACACAGTGATGTCCCCAGTGCTATTAGACTGGCAGGACTTGTTAGCAAACTATCTAATAATGAGAAATATAAAGACTTGTTGAGCTACTACCAAAAAGGCTTTTGGGAGTCTTTTCCAGAAATTTTTGATAAACTCAGAGAATTTTTCCAATATTTTATTTGTGTCGAGAGAGTATTTTTCTCCTTATGAAGATACAGATATACAAATTTCATAGCATATGGATTGCAGACCGACTCTGAACTAGATAATACCTTAGCTCTCATTTCGTTGTATTTCATCAAAATAAAAGTAAGAACACTTTTCTTATTGCAGCATAAATATGGGTTCATCAAAATATTTTAATACACAGATAAGCAAAATGAAGAAAATAAAAATCGCCCATAATTCCATTCATTAGAAGTAATCTGTATTCAAATTTCGTTTTGAGTTGAAAAAATTCTAATCATAATAATCCAAAATAAATGCCAAGTTTCTTTAAAAAGGGGAAATTCTCTAGTGTTTTGAGGTTTTAGA